GGGGGGGAGGGGAAGGGGAGAGTAGATATTCAACTATCACTTTTGAATTGCGCAAGAATTACAAATCGAAATCTTATATAAATAATACCATTTGATTGCTTCGATATCTTTTATTATTCCAATTTTTCGACCAAATTATTAGAATGAGCACGGGCCTTAATATTTAGTATGCCAGCCTTCAGCCGCGATACAAGCTTCAATCCTATCCGGCAATTGTTTAAAAACAGATAAAAATAGGTTTAGTTATCTTTTATGCCATCTACTTCGATGGCTGGCATCCGGATATATAGCTACATCCAGCGCCTCGCCGTTGTTAATGTTGCTTACTCGCGGGCTAATATTGGCCGCTATAAAACCAACGGGTGCTTTGGCCTCGCGTTATAGCGCAGCCATCGCGTCGGCGACAATGGCGCAATGGCCTTATTATACTATGCCCTCGAGCCCTTTTACGGTACAGGTCTAATCATCGCTATTAATATATAAGGCTATTGTACTACGCATCTTTTGGTGTAAATAAGAGCTGGGCAAGCCGTGCGCGATGGAGACGGATAACGGCGAAGAGTTGAAAGAGCCTGCTGATGTATATGCCGGCAGCTTCGCGAGCGTGCTGATTATATTGAGTGGTTTTATAGCTCGGAGAGCGAGCCTGCCGGACATTCAAGGTTTCGGGTCACTTAGAATCATATCGACTAGCCGCCTTTAAAGGCGTACTAGGTATATTGCATATGCATATCTACGTAGTACGTAGTACTTTCGCATAAAGCTCGGGCAGCTTGCTAAAAATCTGTGCCAGCAGCTTCGCGAACGTACTGGCATGCAAGGTTTCGGGTCATTTAGAATCTTCAATCGGTCGGCCAGCAGCTCCGCGAGCGTACTGCCTATGTTGAGTGGTCTTAAGGCTCGGAGGAGCTTACGGGAGATATCAGACATTGAAGGTCTTTTCGGGTCACTCAGAACCGCAGGCCAGCAGATCCGCGAGCTTACTGAATGCTGAATAGTCTTAAGGCTTAAAAAAGCCTGCTGATATCTGTACTAGCAGCTTCGCAAGCACGCTGGCTATGTTGAGTGGTCTTACGGCTCGGAGAGCTTGCTAGACATTCAAGGTTTTGGGTCACCCAGACCTTTCGATCGGTCGGCCAGCAGTTCCGCGAGTATACTAGCTACATTGAATGATCATACGGCTCGGAAAAGCCTGCCGGAGATATCGGACATTCAGGGTTTTATCGGATCACTTATCACGGTACAGGCCTACTGTAAGTACGTAGTACTACCCCTCGAGGGTGCCTCAAAAGTTTAGTTTCCACTTTAAACCCCCTGGTTTCCCTACCCTTGAGAAGTAATACTACGTATATCCACTTTAAACCCTTTGGTTACCCTACCCCCGAAGGGTAATACTCAGGCCTGTACCGTGGTTCTTCACACGGAACGGAGGGCTACGATTCTTTACTTGTACGAAGTGCATCCTACGAACCTGCAGCTCTTTTTCTTTCTTTTTCTTTCGGTAAAAAGAAAGACAAAGAATCTAAAAAGCCGAAATTGAATCTGTTGGATTGCTTCTAGCGATCGGGGAATATATTCGTGACTTCGTAAGGTCGTCAAAGTACTTGCAATTGCAAAACACTCGGTTGTAATGGTATCTGATTTCTGTCTGCTCTCCAAGGCTCAGGGGAGCTGATTCTTTCTATATGATTAGAAGGAATCACGTGCACTAGCTAATTACTAGGTTTTCTACTCAAGTTAGGGGTCCCTTGATCGGTGACATGCTAAGCGGTCTTACGTCTCGAGCAGCCTGCCAAAGATACTACGTAGCTGAATACTTTTACAGCTCGGAAAAGCCTGTTAGATATTCAAGGTTTAGAGTCACTCAGACCCATCGATTTTCCTCTCACTGTGATCCATCCATTCCGTAAAAGAAGGGCGCAGACGATATAAGAAGTCCTAAGGCGGCAGGCTTCGCTTGCTTTCCACCAGACGTTAATAATACAATAACAACAACATCAATAGAGCCATCGATCGGCCAGCTGCTCCGCGAGCGTACTAGCTTCAGCTAGATGGTCTTCCGGCTCGGGCAGCTTGCTTAAGATATATGCCCGCAAGTTCGCAATCGTGTTGGATGTATATAAGGTTTTAGATCACCCGGAACCGTATCTGCGAGTCTGCTATCCGCTCCGTATGAGGATTTGTTGTTGTTATATTTATTAACGTCGGGCGGGTATCCAAAACGCAATCCTTGGACCTTAGGGACCTCTTATAAGGTACGGCGACGTGCTAAGGAGAGGAATGTAAACCCTTTAAAAGCAATTCATAGTGCTGTGCGTCGAGTTTTCTTTTGATAATTGTCGAATACGTATAGCTTTACGAGCGGCCTCGATCCGTATAATATCAACATCGTTTCCCTTCGTCGTAGAGCTAAAAAGGCTCGCGTTCGTAGCCTTTGGATAAAGCCGATGTGTTTGCAGAACGCTTTTTCGAAGGCTTAATACCGTGTTTTCGATCAGTCGAACTAAGCCTTTCCTATCTTATCTCTTATACCCGTTCCTCTTTTGTTGCAAATCATCTTGATCTTTTCAATCGGTATACCCGTCAAGTATAGATCGTAGTCGGCGTAGTATTCGAGAAGAAGGAGGAGGGAGGTTCGGAATCGCCGATAAAAGAAGATCTTTTCGAAGAGGCGTCGCATATTGATGATTCTGTTGGTATATCCATATCGACCTTAGGTAGCTAGTAGTAGTTGGAGGAACTCACTCGTGAACCAAGGTTCACGGGTCACTTGGCATGCCTCGTTTCTTCTTTTGTTTCAAGGACATAAGGCCACGGATCCCTCCGTTTATTACCCTTAAGGTACTAGGTCGCCACCGTTAAAGCGAGACACTTACAGTCCGGACTTCCATTAAAATACTTATCGACGCTACAAGCTGCCTATAGCAGTCTGTACCTGCCTGACTCTCTTTTATGGTTTCCCTTGACGAAATATTCCTTCTCACTGTGATCCATCCTATCCGTAAAGGAAGGGCGCAGCCGATAGTAGCTCTCGCTGCAACACCTTCAATTGCTTTTTAAGGTCTTTTTGTATGTAACTCCGTAGCTTAGCACGTCGCCTACCTTATGGGAGGTCCTAGGGCGGCAGGCTTCGCCTGCTACCCGCCCGACGTAAATAAATACAACAACAATAACAACAACATCAAAACACTTACTGATTAAACAATAACTACTAATGAAAAAATAATAAGAAAATCATTTCTCTGCTTAGAAAATACTGCCTAATAAATATATATCACAGATGTAAAGATGCGTTCGTTTATCGCTAGTTAGAACATCACCTTATCGTAAAAATATAGCCTAAAACATCAAATTTCACTTGTCCGCTCCGAGTATTTAAATAACTACGATTCCAATTGAAAAAAAAAATATTATAAGTCGACAGGAAATGATTAATTGTATTACATGATCAAAATGAAAGTTAATAGTATAATCGTTGGTGGCCTTAAGTATTGCCCCTTTTAAAAGACACCGACCTGGATAAGGCGGGACACCTAGCAAGGCGTTTGGGACTTTATTAAAACGCTCGTTCAACAGCAACTACTGATAGCAACATATTAAAAAAATACCTATATGCTCAGAAAGCGTTGCTTATTAAATGTGAATCACAAAATTCAAGATGCATCCATTTTTCGTTAGTAGAAAGATTGCAATAATCGTCGGTTACCGTGAATTTGGCATTACCGAGGCGGGACACCGGGCAAAGCGTTTGGGACTTTATTAAAACACTCGTTAAATAATGACTATTAATAGAAACATATCAAAAAAAATACTTATATGCTCAGAAAGCTTTATTATATAAATGTGAATCACAAAATTCAAGATGCATCCATTTTTCGTTAGTAAAAAGATTGCAGTAATCGTCGGTTACCGTGAATTTAGCATAATCGAAGCGGGACACCTAGCAAAGCGTTTAGGCCGTCATTAAAACACTCGTTCAATAGCAACTACTAATAGCATTATATTAAGAAAAATACCTATACGCTCAGAAAGCGTTGCTTATTGAATGTGAATCACAAAATTCAAGATGCATCCATTTTGCGTTATTAGAAAGATTGCAATAATCGTCGGTTACCTTGAATTTGGCACCACCGAGGCGGGACACTTAGCAAGGCGTTTGGGATTATCGAGGCGGGACATTTAGCAAGTCGTTTAGGACTCCATTAAAACACTCGGTACACAACAAATATTAATAGAAACATATCAAGAAAAATATATATATGCTCAAAATGCTTTATTAAATAAATGTGAATCATAAAAATCACGATGCATCCATTTGTCGCTAGTCAATATATTGCGATACATTGCGATATGCTGAAAATACTACGAAAAACCGGCATGAATAATTGAATGATATTGATCCGTTATAAAGTCTTGATGATAATAACTCCTCTTCCTTTTTTTGAATAAATTTTACGTCAAAAGAAATAGTTGAATCTATAGTATTATACAAGCACAACTTTTATTAAATGAAAGTTGGATGGTGCAGAAGGTATGCTTTAGAAAAAGTCCGATATTCATCTCCCTCGGCTGCGTGACGGCCAGGAAATCACTCGACAGCTGTGAGAAGGGATAGCTTTACTATTCGGCCAACAGACACCGATAACAAAAAAGAAGAATAGATTAGAGGTATGTTCTGCTACTAACTATATAATAGTTAAAGGAACTCCCGAAGTCCCTTGTAGCTAACGTCATCAAGTACTACCGTGACAAGCTGTCGGTTCTTTACCGCCGTTCCCTTCGGCCGTTCCTTCCTTACAATAGCTTCTTTACTGTCACGCTCAACATTCAAGGCCTTGGATTTATTGCTTCGTGCATTCGGCCCAACGTACATCGAGCACTTGCTTCAACTATCTTATTCCGAATACCTGCCTCAGCTTTATTGCGTCATGCATCTGCCTCAGCCGTTTCCTCGAGCACATGCCCAGCTCATGCTTCGTGGTCCTGCCCTATGTTGCTTCGTGGTCCTGCCCTATGTTGCTTCGTGGTCTTGCCCCATGTTGCTTCGTGCTCTCGCTCTTGCTTTCGCTTTTCCTTTCGCTGCTAATGTCGTCACTAGTATTAGTACAAGTCCTTTTCTTATATAAACCCATACCCCAAGAGCGGCAGCTCT